GTGTGTAGTGTGTAGTGTGTTGTGTGTAGTATGTCGCCATGTGATAATGGTTCTTTAGACGATGCCAGGTTATCAGCACAGAGTGGGCCGGACCTCGTCTAATAGCATAAAGACATTCATTTTTACTGCGTAAATGCTCGCCACTACGCCCTGCCCCACATTCTCAAATCGGAAATTAAATTATTAAATTATCAAAGAATGCCGCACCTTATGGCAAAACTCATTATCCCTTATCCGCAGGACACATCGCCTTTAGTGCTCTGGACGACACCTCGCACTCGGTGCATGTGTACAGCATCAATGGCTGCAGTCTGGGCTCCAAGTATGTTTCTGGCCGGGTCACCGGATTGGCCAGTGCTTCCGACTATTTGGTGGTGGCCGACGATGCCGGCGACATCACCATGAGCAGACTACACGGGTAAGATATCGCCCAAGACTTACAGTCTCCAAAGAAACATTTATTTTTTTTTATAAGGTTTATTTTTTAATTAAAATTCAAAAATATGTCTGTTTACTTTCCTCAAACAATATTTTAGTTTAATTAATTAAAATTAAAAATCTAAAACCGTTTTTTAAATGTCCGTCCACCGAATTTCATAAGAAGAAAACCTTATTCTTCAACTTATGTTATTTTAAATAATATTAATAATTTAATGAACAAATTCTTCCCCCTTTTTAATTTCTTTTTGTCTTAAGTCTTATTTTGGTACTGCCTAAAATAATAATAAATATATTAATTTACAAATAGTTGACTTTATTAAATTCCTTAAATAATATGTTGTGGAAAAAATGTTTTTCTCTGCTGGTAAAAAATGATTTTTAGAACCTCACTTATTAATTTAAATATTTTCACTTGCAGTTTAAAGCCCGTTTTCGACATTCCGCTGCACGTGCCCATCCAGACGGTGGTGGTGACGCCGGGCAACACCCACATCCTGGCGCCTCTACGGGATGGCCGACTGGCCGTGATCGCCGTGCAACTGCCCTCCGGCGGCAACAAGAAGCATTCCGTGCTCAATGTCTAAAAGAAATAGCAGCAGGACAGCAGGAGCTTAGCTTAACATTGGACTTCCTCAATTCCCGAATTTTACACTCTCTGCCTAGCATAAGTTGCTCCTATTTTCGTCTAGTGCTTCTAGCACAACCTAGATGTAGATTTTGTGTCTTGTGATTTGTCATGATTTATTTTTTTTTTTTGTCATTTTCCATACTACGTGACGTGCCAAAAGCAAAGCCTTTGACCAACAAATAATTCCCACGAAAAGTTGACAAATGTGTCTAAAGATATTCAGCAAGTCGATCGATTGCATTCGCGGAATTTCCATGCGCAACTGAAAAGTATTTCACCTGTCAAAAGTGCGTGTTCACCTGGCCGCCAAAAAAAAAATGGCCAAATGATCGATGGCACACTCTTCTTCAGTTGACGAACATCCAAATCTGAATAAATCATCAATCATGCGCCGAGGTGTGAGGAGATATATCTCTTCGCCAGGCAAATGGGACGGAGATGGAGACGACAACAAAATCGGAGGAAGACGATGGGGAAACTGGTTGTAGACGCACTTGGCAACTACTCTACTCACTGACTCACGAGCGACTTTCAAATTTGGCCAAAAAAAAAAAAAGAACCTACAAAAAAGCACCCGGCAACAGCGGCAAGACGCTTGAAAAACTTAAAAAACCGCAACCGACCGCACAGATCGACGGCATCCAGCTGCTCGGGTGCTCAATAAAAATAAAGAAATAAAGAAAACACTTTCGTTGCGTCCCCTTTTTTGCGCCTGCAGACACAACCAAAAATAGAGCCCCCAGAGATCTTCGTCCCATTAAGTACGCACACACTCGGATCACATGGTGTATCCAATAATTAGCAGAGCAATTCCAATTGAAAGTATTATCACCGCACGATTACAGTCCGTCCACACAGATCCGCAGATCCACAGATCCAAGTTGAAAATCAAACACACAGACAATACCAGTGCCAGAACAAAAGATACTATTCTTCTTTTTTTTACCATTCCCCAAAACTTCTGCCTTTGATCTTACTCGTCAGCGATTGTGACTCTAGAATCTGAATTTCCAAAGACAAGCGACAATATCAAAGGTGAATGGAATATATATATATATATATATATATATATATTTTACGAATTGTAATCGCATAAAGCCCTGGGCAGCTGCAACAGAAAAGCAACCTATCAATATCTTACTCCAGCAATATATACAGTATATCATCTGTTTACGTAAAGGTCCCTCTGGGATCGAGTTCGTTATCTGTTGTTAAGATCGTATCGCGTATTATCGTAAAAATGTTTTCCCCGTTCAATGTATGTACGTAATTGTACTAGTTTATGTAGATAATGTCACTATCCGTAGTTTGTAGATCTGTCAATAAAGTGATGAGAACCACACAGTAATTGAAATTCCATGTTTTATTCAACCGCCCAATGAGCAGAGTACTTGCCACTTCAGTTTTCTTGTATTTATTCAAAAACCATCGCTTGAATGTGGATTAAAATTAAAAACTAAACAATTAGAAAACCATATTTCAGTTCTATTACCTTATAAATTAAAACATAGTCGTGGGTAGCTTATGAAACTGATTAATTCCGTGAATACTATTCCGTGATTCTATATGGGCTGCGATGCTGGATGAATTTGGTCGATCAATAAATAGGTTGTAAAAATGATGGGTGCACATAAATACGAATTGGGTGATTGACTGACTGATTGATTGATTGATCAATTCTGGTTTGTGTTACAAGATTATATAAGTGCTTGGGTTGCTGGGGTACCCTTAAGTAAACGGCCAATTAGTTTAAATACGTTAACTAGAGCTCGCCTGAATCGCTAGGAACAATCATTGCTACTTACAAAAAACAAAAGACGCGTGATTACAAGCCGATAACTAAAGCTATAATTAAAGAAAACGAATAAAGTAGATTCTATATTTCGAATGCGATACTTGTGTGACTGCTATTCGAGGGTGGTAAGTTAGAAAATTAGTGTCTAAGCCGGCATTAGATACGGTTAATTACCTGGATTACGAGCTAGATGGTGCTTAACCTAAATTGTACATAACTGTAAATCGTATGACCTTTCTCTCCATAATTTCTTATTATTTTTTTTTTTGTGGTTTTTTCTAAGCATATTTCTTTTCTTTTCACGCATCTTCGAAGGCATTTGATCTATCTAACTAACTAGATGAATTCCCGTCGTCAATCCGATAGCCTTTTGTTTTGTGGTTGTGTAATGGTGGGATCTCTATTCCTCCTCCCTCTGCAATAAAGCGAGAAAAGGATAAGGGATTACTTAGGATGAGTTGGGATTGGAGGGCAAGGAAGGTGAATACTTACAAGTACGGGATACACAAAGGTGTCGGCGGAGTCTTTGCCGACGGCATTGCGGGCTATGCACTTGTAGTTGCCCATGTCCTCCCACTTGATCTCGGAGATGAGAAGATCACCGCTGGGCAGCACCCGGTGGCGATGTCCCTGGACGATCTCCTTGTTCTCGTTGTTCAACCAGGTGATCTCGGCCCTGGGACGAGCGTGCACCCGACAGGGCAGCATGATGTTGTTGCCCATCAGGTCCAGATGCGTCTTCTCGGAGTAGATGATGCGCGGCTTCTGCGGACCCGGGTAGGTCTTCTCCGGCACCAGGCGAGAGGTTCGGGGCGGATGCACCACAGTGCTGGCGTAGATGGTCTTGGAGCCAGTGCGTCCCACACAGGTGTAGGTGCGGGCCTCGCTCAGCATGTGATCGATGATGTGGGACGATCGCACACGGACAATGGTCGCCTCGTTGGCCTCGTCGGCCACCTGGTTGGATTCCAGGTCGTCCAGCTCGGAGTGCGGCAGATGACCCACCACCCACTGGATGCTGGGCACCGAGGAGCCCATCATCTCGCAAACGATCTCGACGGTGGCACCCTCCGCCTGCTGCAGCTTGGTCGGCGGCGTCTTGATGAACTTCAGCCAGTCGGCCGCGAAGGCTCGGTTGCGGGGCTTCTCCTCCTCGGCCTCGATGGAGTTGTCCACATTGTTGCTATCGTCGTCGTCTACCAGGTCCACGGCTCTTCCGCGGACAGTGGCGATACTGCCGAACAGCAGCAGCGCTAAGGCGCACACATGTAAATTCATTTTCTGCAATCAGATCAGAGTGGAAATCGACGTTGAGTTCAAAGTTCATCCACAGTCATACGACTCTAATATAGGTTAATAAACCCCAGAGCAACGTGATGCGATAGCCGCCTGCATTCCAGCCAGTCATCCCCCGTCACTTATCACCACCTATGTATGTATAATAGACCAGGGGAGGTCTCCGCGTCTATTTCCCCCGATAAGAGCAAAAAGGCCTTCAGCCGCCGGACTCTAGAACATTACTAACACTTGCGAAATGCCATGACTCTCGGAATCGGAATCGAAATCGAAATCCTTTCCCGACAAGAAAAAAAACCCCAACCCCCTAGAACCCCCAAACCCTCGATCCCGAGAGATCTTTTAGATCTTCGCTCTCAACACGAATTTCACAATGCCACGACACCAGAAACAAAAAAAAAATGATATAAGAATCATGCGTGGGCCGAATCAGAGGCAGAAATTGAAAACGGAAAGACGCCATTGTGACGTCAATTTGTTCGAATTCTACAACTTGATTCATGTTCACATTCTCACCCACGCTCTGGCTCTAGCCGCAGATCAAGGGCCAGTGTGTCCCATGTCTAGAGTCTAGACTGGACAAACTGCGTGACCGATTAATTATTCATATACAATAGTTTTCGAGGGTATTGTGTGTAGTCATTCGCCAATCGCTGGCGAATGTTGCATCAGACGGTTTCTTTTGCCCTTCGACGGGGATTTTGGTTTTTGGGAATTTCTACGAATTCCGATTTTGACAAAAAAAAGAAAATGACGACAATGATTGATAGGATTCACTGGTCTATTGTTAACGCATTACTCAGACTCAGACTGAGACTCACACCCACACTGACACTCACCTTTTGATTTGATTTCTTTTTTCTCTTCCGGTAAAAAATGTTTGCAAATTTCTCCCTAACGTTGGATGATATGCTATCAAGTGCTATCGTCGGTCGGCCTGTCGTTATGTTATGAACGAATTTATCAGCTCTATGTTGTGGCGGCTCCTGGTTTGGGCTTTCTGGTTGAAGTTGAGCAGCAGTTGGCTTAGCACTGACATAGATCCGGCGCTGGATGCCGTCTTGGAGGTCGTGCAGCTCAGTGTTGGCGGAATCTTGGCTACTTGCCGGACTTTCGGGGGCCGAATATGGATCGTATTGGATGGTGCTTCGCTTGGGGATAGCGATTGTCTGGATTAGGCTGACTTGGGATCAGGTGGTGCAGCGCTCTCAGTGGGTCAAAGTCTCGGTCTCGGTCTCGGCGTAGCGAATATCTAGCTGACGGCTCTGGCACATTCGATCCTCGATTGGGTATCAGTGATCGGAACGGGCTTCCTTGGATGTGGCGGTAGCTTTGGATTTGTTGGTTGTCGTTGTCTGGTTGGCGCGGCACTCGTTTGAATACGCACGGTTCATCGACATTACACTCGAGTCAAGGTGTTTGGGGCGTTTTTTAAGCGGATCGCGGCGAATTTCAAAAAGAAGCGAGGATCGGATCGGTTAAGTTCGGGTTGGATCGTAACGGATCGGATTGGATCGGCTCTCAAAAGTTGTGTTCAACAGCTGGAAACTGTAACAGAACTGAATGTGTGACCGCTGCGCTGTTCCATTTATATGCGACGCCGGCTCACTCACACATGGGAGCCCGCTCTCCTTCTGCTTCTCCTTCTCTTCTCCGCCTGCCTCTTCCGCTTCGCCGCTCTTCGATCTCTCCCGGCTCTCTTCGCCGCTCCGCTCCGTTCCCTCTTCACCTCCTCTCCGGGTGACAAGCCGCCAGCATTCAATTACTCGTTCTCAGATCGTAATTCTTTGTGCGACCGCCGCACCGGGAAGGTGCGGAACAAAACGGATATAACCGGCCCGGGGGATTCGATTATCCGCCTCTGGATCTGGATATGGCTTTCGCTTGCCTAATTGCACCGTCAGCTACAGTCCAACGCCCATAGCTTGCAAACCCAAGTGTCGCAGAGGCCGTTCAACATAATAATATAGCATTGGATGTCTTACCAAAGGATTTCTATAAAACCCTCTATAAATTTGATCTAAGGGTTCCTTAGAATGACCAAATTTCTTCACTGAGGTCTTAACAATTAAGTTTATTCAATTTTTTTTCACTTATTATATAAAATTGTATACCATTTTTAATAGAATACATAAAGATACAATTTTATCTACATTTCTAAATTTTCTTACTACTTCTCACCCAAAAATGAAGTATAATTAGTCAGGGGTATTCTACAAAAGTGGGCGCTGTCAACAACAGAAATATGATCTTTGTATATAGAAGGTGTTATAAACCGAAATAGGATCTATTATTTTCAGTGTTTGACACTTCATGAATCGCCCCTCGAAATAAAGTTATAAAGACAATACAACTTAAAAAAAATTCAGTCATGTACCCAAAGTTAACGAAGTATAACTTTTCGATGTTCTCCTGTAGTTATCAGGACCACAGATTGAATCTGCTGATTTCATTTCACAAATTTGAGCGGATTTAATTATTTTTTTGTGATTTCATTTTTCACTGACTCGCCTTTGATATGCATGACCAATCTGCCAATTTAATAACCACAAACGAAAAGCAGAACTTGGCTTTAAGCCCGTTGACAGTGTAAGCAGCATTCAAATTTTCTGCCCGATAAAACATACCACTTCTTATGTTGGGTAGTCGGGGATTGGGTATTGGGGATTGAGGATTGGATGAGGGGTGTGGCATGGAGTGGCATGGTGCAAGGTTCCATTAGCCGAGACCGTGTCTGAGTTCGAGTCCGATTCCGAGTCCAAGTCAATGGATTGTCCGTCCATCCGTCTGTTTGTCTGTCTGTCCGTTTGTCTGTATGTCTGATCTGTCCATGCGATCGCCTCATTGCAATCAAGTGTGAGTGCCAGTTTGTCTGCGGTGATCGTTGGCTGAATGAGAAGCGGAGGAGGAGGAGGAGCGGCGGTATGATACCACAAACTACACTGGAAGAAAGAATATTAGACTAGAAATACGAACTCCTCGAATGGGAAATAATATAATATAGCATTTAACCAATGAATAACTAAATCATATTAAATATAGAGACTCCACTTAACCTAAGTCAAAGTTATCTATTAATACAAATTTATTGGAATAAGGTTTTCATCCGAATTGTTTTAGATATCTGAGATTAAAGCAGATCTTCCCTATAAATTGTTTGTATCCGAGAAAAGATTATCGTGACAAAGGTGCGAGAAGCCAGAGGTAACTATAAATATCTTTCAAGTTGTTTGTTTAACACCTTAGATCCGTGTTTACCCGAGAAACACAAAAAACTAAATTTTTATATAATAAACAAAAACTTAGTTTAATTAAGTTTGAAAAAATAATTAAATACAAAGTACCTATTAAAATTGCACCAATTAAAACTTTGTTTTCCTATTAAGGAAAATTCAAAAACGTGTTAGGGTTGAGATTAAAGATTCTGTTTAAATGTATCAATTCTTTAAGGTCTTTAAAGTGCAATTATTTTAGGGAACTATAGTCAAATTTTTTAAAGTGCATTGCTGATTGCCTACTCGTAAATGTAAGTGTATCTGAGGGGGAGGGAACGCTGTGGAGGGGGGTTCCAAACTAGTCTGAGCTGGCGTTGCCGGCCGGGAGTTGATCACTGATCACTGGGAACTGGCAACTGGGAACTGGCAACTAGGGGCAGCGGACTGGGGGCTGGAGGTGCAGTCAAAATGGCAGACAGACTGGCAGCCACATCGCGTGTTCGCTTTCCGCTGTTGCCGGGCGGCAGCCGCTTGTGGTCGGGAGGAAGGGGAGAAGGGGAGGGGAAGGGGGAGCGGATAGGGGGACGGACGATTGAGGCACCGCGACTAGTTTCTTTCTTCGCTTTATCGACAAGCCACATCGACAACTAGATTCAATTCTACGAGTAATTTATTTATTGCACGTTACACAAATCGTCCGACCGCAGACTGGTCACCCCCCCACCCCCTTGATACCCCTTCTACCCCCCCGCTCACCACCATTACAGAAAACACTTGGCAGCGGCATCGAGCCAGCCACAAAGCGAAATTCAATTGAGAGAAAAATCTTGCAGGTGCTTGAAATTGTGTCTCGTGCCGCTGCCTCTGCCTCCACCGCCAATCCCCTCGAGCCCGGGATCTTATCCGCCCCCTGGACACCTCGTCATCCTCGTGCTCCACGGCGGTTACCTCCTCAGCCTTGGACGGCACACCTCAAAGCGCTTTGGCAACGATATCGTAACGCTGACGTAAGGGGCACTGAATTGAAATGGCCTTTTGATGCGACTTGGGGAGCACTTTCTACAATAGGAGGGACTGCGACTGCGACTGCGACTGGCATCCGATTCGATCCGATCCCCACACGTAACAATCGCCAGTGACGCGGTCAGGGGTTGCACTTCCTAGGTGCCCGCCACACGGATGCAATTGAGCGGGATCAAACTGAACAATCAGACATAAAAATCGGATATTTTGCAGCTAAATTGAATTTGATAGCTGCAATAAAGCGTGTTGATTGTGTGATTTAACTAAGTAACAATCAATTAAGAGTGTAGATTGCTTCTACTGAAAAATGACTTGGGAATTATAAGAAAGGAAGGGGAACTTTAACTTTGTTAATAAGGAGTTAGCCTAGGTCAAAATTTAGTAGGGTCTTATAAACCCTATTAAAGTTTGTAACATTAAGAGTAGCATACTTATAAAAGGCCTTATTAAAACTGTTGCTATTTCAGTACAATCTTGCGATCTCCCATTTTGATACCGAAAAGGGTAATGGAATCTTTTAATTTGGAATTTTTAAAATTAATAAAAGTCTAATTAAATTAAGGAAGGACTTTTGAATTTGTGCAATTATTAAAATTGGGAATAACTTAGAAGCGGTATAATTTTAAAACCTTTTTGTATTCTTTTAAATAAATTACACCATATTGATGCAGGACTTTCGGATTTCTTTCAGTGTGCTTTCGGGGCCTTCCCAAATGAGATCACCACGGATCGGATCGGATCGGAATCGGAACCGTCTTTACTTGGCTTGGCATACATATTCATGTGGCTGTGGCCATCGTCGACTTGGGAGATCGTCACCGGCCGGCACCAATACCACCGATCTCCGACTATCAACGCCCCTCCGATCTCGAACTCGAACTCGATCTCGATGTCGATCTCAGGTGGACGGCCCAGCGGCATTGTCATCGAAGTCTTTCGTGCGAAGCGTAGATTTATAGGTTCCATTTCCTAGAAACGATCGATGGCTGGTTTTCACTCCGCACACAGCACACAGCTCACAGCACATAGCCAAGCCAAAAAGATATATGTACATGTGGTTGAGTGAAAGAGAGGTCGAGGTCTGGCACCCCGTCACTCTTTTTCTTTTCCATATGGCATAGCTGACTGAAAATCGTACGATTGTTCGGTGACTTGATGGCACAAATTATTGCATCATGACAATGGACGATCGGAGACTCGTGCATGTGCATGGGTAAGCCAAATTGGCCCGCTTCCGCTAATGGGTAATGGGTAATGGGTAAATCTCTTCGGGCACCACTCTGCACCACTCCGCCCCAAACTGCAGCACACTGCATCTGCAACTGCATCTGTATCGCACCACTCGGCTAGCTGGCTGGCTGTCCCGCATCGTTTGCACTTTTCTGCTAATTAACGTCGTGCCAGCGATAGCAACACCTCCAGAGCCGCAGATACAAAGCAGCAACACACCACCGGAACCAGTCGGTGGTGGGGGTACACAGAGGAAAATTAATAGGAATTGATGTGTTCTATAATTGTGTGGGTCCATACCAAAACTGGTGCTAATCGGACTATTGATAGGGATAATATAGAATGTTTTCATGGTATAGTTAAGAATACGCCTTAGGGTATGCTTTGTTTTTTCTGATATCTCAAATTTGATTAATATTTAAGGACCTTTAATAAAAATATTAAAAAAATAATAATTTTTATGATTTTGTAACATCTGTCGTTTCAAAACTTAATGCAACAACATATTACCTATGTTTTTAATTTGTTATATCATGTCCAAAAAAGTACCATTACAATATATACGAAAATG